ATACACTTGGATGACTAATCTACAGTTTGTTCAACAGTATGTATATACTGGATAGACACTGCAGATGGACAATGAATTGGACCTAGTTTAAACTGAAAGAAAAGAGTAGGTTGGATTGCTTTCAGGAAATTGCAAAGCTCTTTTATAGATTCCAAGTTTCTGTGAAAGCAAAGGCCTCTTTTAATGTTCATATTTTAGCAGTGTTACTACGATATGGCAGCAAGATGTGAAACATTAATGCATGCAAAGAGCTAACACTGAATAAGATGCATAGGAAAATTGAGAGGTACACGGTGGATGTGAGCAACCCTGCATAACATAACCAATAAGGAAGTCCATCGAAGAACAAGAGTAAAGGCTATCATTATAGAATTGTATGACAGAAGATGGGCTGGTCATGTGGTAAGGGCAAGAGATGACATGTGAACAGATGAAATGCTCCAGTTGTATCCTAGAGACATTAGCAAAAAATAAGTAAGATCTTCAGCCCCCTGGGTGGGCCACTTGTGATGAATTTTTGGGAAGCCTTGGACAAGAGTCAGAAAGAATGGGCAAGCATGTGTCGGTTACAATCTGCACTTAGGGGACAGAACTCCTGAATTAATGAGATCACAGGTCTATATGAGTACTGCTTTGAGATCTCCCCATAACAATTATATTTTCCAGTCTAAAAACCAGTTGAAGTTTTTTCAATTGATATGATAGTACTTCTGTAATCAATAAACTGAGCCAAACTGGTTCTAAATAATTTATTACAGTGCTTTTACAAAACAAAGTTACCATTTAAATTGTTGATTGTCTTCTGATTATTTCAATTGTTGATTCTGTAGTGTACCTAGAGCTTTTTAAAAAACTAAATCTCCAGATAAAAAGAGGATTTTAAAAATCTAAGAAGAACCCTAGAGATAATCTTAATATAGCATCTCCCAAACCAATTTGGCCATGGAACACTAGAGCCTTAAGTATCCTGATAGAACACATTGTCAGTCCAGGAGGGTCTGGATAGGATGGTCACAGAAATTTTGGTGTAAAATGAAAGAAATCAAACCTATCTCTCTCTCTCTCTCTCTCTCTCTCTCTCTCTCTCTCTCTCTCTCTCTCTCTCTCTCACACACACACACACACACACACACACACACACACACACAATACATATAGTCAACAAGCATTTTATATTTAATATTTTAGAGGAGAAAATAGTAGCATCAATCCTCACATAACTCTTATTCAGACTGTTTAAGTTCTACATAGTACTACTGCATTTTAGAATATAACATTTTGGAAATAATGATCTTGTCTAAAATACTTAGTTTACTGATAAGGAAACTCAGACACAGAGGAGTGAAGTACCTGGTCCGAGTTAGTGACAGAACTCATGGGACTAGAAATCTGGGTTCTAAATACCCTAAGGGCAGTATATGGTCTATTCAATTCAACCCAAGGTTTCCTTTATTGGAGTGCTCTGTTTTATATATGTTATTTTTATAGCAATAATGGGTTAGGAACGCCTTTAGCCAGGTGTTATGGCAAAAGATGCTTCATCCACAAAAAAAACCCAACACATCTTTTGTCATAACATAGTACCCACACTCAAAGAGTATCCTATTTAGATCATTCAATTTTACTGAAATACAATAAAACCACCAATCGAAAACTAGCTTTCCTTTAACTACCAAAGGTCCATCTCAACACAACCCTAAACCTTAAGCCTTTCTTTTCAGTCACTTGTATTCTAACAGCATTCACTCTCTTGTGTTGCTTACTTCATGTATCAAAAGAATTCTTAAAACGGTTGCTTGTTCCATCTTAATTCATTCACACCTAGGCCCATGAGAAATATAACAGTATCTGACCTCCTTTTATATTTCTACAAAATCCGGAGACCTAGGTTCATCCCATTCTTGTTAGCACCAAAAACTTAAGTTATGTATTTTATACCCCACCTCATTTTGCCTGTATGTAAGCTGATATTCTACCAAAAACGTTAATTGCTATACCAAGTGTCAAATATCCCTTTATGATAGGCGGCTTCCTTACTGAACACTAACTGAAAGTCATTATCTATTAAAGCAGGGGGGAAAAACCCTATATTTCTCATTTATACCTACCTGTATGAAATGATGTATTTGCAATAGTTTTCATTTTTTAAATCTATGTACTGACATACAAGAGCTGATAACATATTAATTTCCAAAAGTATTTTCACACAAAATAAAGATGGTAGGTAGCATGATAAAGTGGCATAAACACTGGACTGCGTACCAGGAGACCTTGGCTCTAGTTGGATCTCTGACTGCTACTGAGCCTGAAAACTTATGGACCTGTTTCTTCATCTGTAAAATGAAAGGTTTGACTATGTATTTTCCTCTCATAGTAAAAGTACTATGTCAAAGTCCTAACTTGAGGCTATCATAAAGAATAATTCTGTATGGTGAAATAATAGTTTTTGTCACCTTCTTTAAAAGTTTCAGTTAGTGAAGTTTAGTTTGTCAGTTTCTATTTTATTTTATATCAATTCTGGTTTCATGTTATCAGCCTATTTTCTAATATGTTTATATTCTAGGTGTTAAGAATTTCTAATATAATTCAACTGGGTCACTGAGAAAACTAAGACATGGAAAGACTGAAGGCCTTGCCTGAGGTCAACTAGGCAAAGTCTAGTTTGGGGTCAGATTTTCTGTCTGCTACCTTTTTTTTGGGGGGGGGGGGAAGGCAGAGGAGGAGGATCAGGCTTAAGTGATTTGCCCAGGTCACACAGCTAGTAAGTGTCTAAGGCTGAATTTGAACTCAGATCCTCCTGATTCCAGGGCCTGCGCTCTATCCACTGCACCACCTAGCTGCACCTGCTGCTAGCTTTCAAGAAAATTCAACCTTACAAGGCAGATAAATCACCTGCTGCTAGCTTTTAAGAAAATTCAACCTTACAAGGCAGATAAATCAGAAGAATCCTTTTGTAATCATTCATTTTACAAAATATTTCACATGATTTGATTAACATGAAACTTTTCAGGGATGCATCTATTCTGCAAGGCGAAGGATTAAAAACACGACAGTACTGCTAGTAAAGTTGATCACTCACAAGAATTTCTCAGAACTTTGAGACAACTTGCATGTCACAAAGAACCTTAGAGTCAATCCCAAATAAAGGCTATTAGTTTATAGTGCAGTAACATGCAGTATTAGCAACAAGTTTCAAAAATCAATGTTTTAATTTAGATACGTAATGTAATTTTTTGAATGTATAATAAATCACAGAAGTACTGGTTACATATTTTCCAGGACATTCAATGGCAAAAATGTTAAAAATAATTTTAACAATTTCAATGATGTAACTGTACTAATCAACTCCAATTTAGACATCTAAATTTATGATTTTACCACTAAGCATACGATAAATGCTTTAAATAATGCTGGAACAAGAATTTTCTCATGGCCCAGGCCCAAGTAAGAAATTTAATTATAAAAACATTTTTTCCTAAAAGGACGAAGATTTTATTATATTCTTAAAAAAGCAGAATATAGTGCTTATAACATATGTGCTAAAGATGGTGTACAGGTTTTCAGTGTTCCACTGGTCAGCTGCTGCTCCCATATTCCATATCTCCATCTGTTTTTCAAATTCAATGAAGTTAACACCATCCCACCCCCACTTCCATGCTACTCTTCCTAGAACATGAGGAAAATCTGGTCTAACAACTAGGTTATCCTACTTTTGAAATCCTACCTCTAGTCTCAGTAATAGAAGAGTATTAAAAGAAGTAAAGAATCTCAAGGTTCTATTTCATCTCTGCCAGTGACTTTATCTCAAACAAGTAATCTGGCCTCTTTGCACTTCAGGTCACTACATATAAAATGTCCTCATGGCTAAACGATTCTAGGAACCATAGCTATGAGGCAGCAAGGTACAATGCAGTGACTCTAGAATTCAAGAACCTGTGTTCAAATCCTGCCCCTACCACCCATACCTGTGTGATCTTGAACAAATCCCTCGCCCACCCTAGGCTTCAGTTCCCTCCTCTATAAAACAAGAGGGTTGGACTTGAGTTTCTGAGGTCCCTTTGAGCTCTAAAGCCATGATCTTATGAAGAGTCTTTCTGCTTCCTGTCTCTCTATCCATACGATGACCTCAGTAATCTTTCTAAAGTAGCAGTTCTTTATCACCTATCAAATAAAATATAAACTCCTGGCCCTGAGAAGGCCCCGTGCCTCTAGCCTCATTTGTCCGGAGGCATCTCTGGCCACTGCTCTCCTGTGCACAGTCTACACTCCAGTCAAAGAAGACGATCCCACTTCCAACCACCCTCTGTCTCCATGCCCTTGTGCACATTATATCGATATACTTGGATTTGGCTCCTTTCCTTTCCAGTCAACTATTTCCAACTGTTGAGTATTCTCCTGCCTTCAAGGCCCAATTAAAATGCCACCTCCTTCATGAAGGCTTCCTGGACTCCTCCAGGAGAAACTGATTTCTCTGGCCTCAAATTTTTACAGACCTTTCTCCTATATTTATCCATACTCTCCTTTATATCTTAATTATTCAAGGACTTGCCCTTCCCATCATTAGCATGTAATTTTCTTCAAAGCGGGCCCTGTGTTGTATCTTTGGGTTCCCAGTATCTAACATAGTGCCTCTATAGTTAGTATTTATTGAAAATTTGAACTGAGTTCAAAGAATAAGACGAATATTATCTATATAACTCAGTTCCACAAAATTAGCAACCTAAACCACTTAACATGGAGAACAAGCTATCCAGACAAAAAGAGGAAAAATGAAAATTCTGTCTCACAAAGGAAATGCTTTAAAGTGATAGGTCTTAAATATGAGAAATACATAAGCAAATGATGCATGGCTCTCTGAACACAACTCTTAATAATGCTCCTAAACTCTACCAGTACTGGCTTGATTTATCTATGGTAAATCTTAGGTACTGAGGTTGGGGGATGAATGACTCTTCATCTAATATGGTTGAAGTAAACAAACAAACAAAACAATAACTTACCTTCAGAAGAGCTCTATTACTTATGAGGGGATCAAACTTATCATTTATTCCAAAATACTGAGTAAGCTCCTTCCACTGGGCTTCATTTGAAGATTGTTGACTGCACAAAGACAAATCGTTGGCTATATTTCATTCAAAATGATTTAACTATTATTATTTCCACCATGTTTAATTGGAAACCTAAAACAACAAACTATCCTAGTCATATATGGATTCCTATGTTCAGTTCTAGGCATATTACAGGACAGACACTGACAAAGTGGAACAAGAATGAAAGAAAGAGACCAGGATAGTAACTGAACTTGAAACTATGCCATACAAGGATTGGCTGAAAAAATTGGGGATGTTTAGCTTAGAGAAGACTTCAGGATGAATGATATCTATTTTCAAAAGTTGGATGAGTTACATATGGCAGGAGGATTAAATCTGTTCTACTGGGCCTGAGGCCAGTATTAGAACTAACTAAAGACATAGATATGAGGTTTGATATAAGGGAAAACTTTCTAACAAACAGAGCTGGCTGAGAAAGGATTGAGCTATCAAGCTAATGACCTCATTTCTGAAGAACTTTAAGGAGAGACTAAATGCCCACCAGGAATGGATATCAGAGAACAGTTTCTTTGCTAGGTACTGCTGAGATTAAAAGACCTTTAAGACCCCTTCCAACTCAGACTCTAGAAGTCTAAAAATCAATAGCTTATATTATATTACAATTTATACAGGGATGGCATTAGCCTACAGATGAACTGTTAAGACAGGCAAAATGCCTACTTTTCATCATAAGATATTTGTGCTAGCTTTTACATACCTGTCAGACTCTTCTTTATTCTTCAATTTACCTGGAAAAAAAAATTCACAAAATGTTGGGATGTATACTTTCAATTATATTCTTGAAACATTTTAGTTCTTTAAAATGACTAATATAAGGAATTACTTTTTTGCCATTAGCCCTATCAACAGTTAAGATTATTAAACAGAAATTACATAAAATACCTTTTCTAGAACGTTTTCTTTTGCTCCTCTTGCTTGTAGAAATACTTAAGGTTTTCAGTTCAGAATGTTTTTTATGTAACTCTTGAAACTTCTGTGCAGGAATGAAAAACAAGTCACATAAGCAGATATGTTAAGACAAAGTTTATAGTCTTCAAATAACTAAGATTGTCATTAAGAGAGAAACATTATATTGTCATTTAAAGCGGAGTTTCAGTTTAATAAAAAAGTTAATTCTGGCTTTGCATAAAGTAGACATCTAATAAATTGTTTATTGAATTGCTAAGGGAAGTCACTGAAAGTTTGATCTTCACGGTGTATCACAACATTGAGTGGGTACATGTGAGAGCGTGCACACACACACATACATACATAGACACTGGCTTTCTATAATATAGATAGCCATCTGCTAATCTGGCAGGTAGGTTAAATGAATTATTACAAAGATAGCAAAGGGAGAAAATTTCATTTCACTTGTTGGAAAGCTAAGTTTCATTGAGTATATCAGTTTTTAGCAAACATTTCTATTTGTCTGAGAGGCAGCCAATGTGGCATAATGCAAATCAGGAAGGCCTAGCCTCAAAATGAGCCTCTGACATTTATTAGGTTTATAACTACAAGCAAGTGACTTAAATTCTGAGTTTTGTAATCTGTAAAATGGGGATGAGTACCTGCAGTGTCTGCCTCACAGGGTTATGGCCAAGATTAAATAAAGATATGGGTCAATATTACTATTTAGTATCTCTTCAGAAACAAAAAATGGAAATCACCTCTAAAGCCAATTAATATTAAGTCAAGATTTTTTACTCCAGGGCAAAGCTAACTTCATAAAGCACCCTTATGGACATAGTAATTTTCTATTCGAATATAACATGGTTCTAAGAATGGCACAGACACATTTTTTTCCCCCAGCACAACAAAAGATCTTCAGAAAAACTTACATTCCACATATTTCGGGGAACTCCAGATGGACACTCTTCATCAGCATTTTTTGCATTTGTCTCTGCCTCATTTTTAGACCCACCAGTACGGAAAACAGAAAACCCAACTTCTTCAGTTACGCCATCTCCCTTATCTTCCTTTGAACTAAGTTTTGAGATTTTCAATGTGGTCTCATCCTCAGAACTCAACTCAATATCACTTTCATTCATCCCAGGTGGTAACAGTCCACTCCACATCTTCTTTTTTAAATGGGAAAGAGGAAAGACCTTAAGACCAATAGAAAATAAAAGTGCCAAGTAAGTTTATTTAGGGTTTCAACAATATCAATGATAATACAGAGGCACATTTCATTTAGTGATTAAAAAGAAATATAAAATAACAAAATAAAACCTATCTCAACTGTCAAAATAATTTTGTCTGTTTTCCTTTGTTACAAAAGGAATCTACATTAAGATGTGACTATGCTATAAAAGCAAAAAAAAAAAAAAAGAAACTTTTAAAAGAAACAAAGGACCTAGATTTTTAAAGACCTGAATCAAATGAGCATTTTGAATCTCAAGAAAAAAACTATTCAATGTTAACACTATTTTAAAAGCTATAATATTAAGCTAAAAATTAAGATATATTTAATTTTGATAATACTGAATCTGAACAACATTTTTGGGGTGGAAGGGTCAGGAAAAATGTACAACAGGAAGGGAAAAAAATGCTAGTTTTAAACTAGCAAATACTGTAATATAAAAGTCTGTCACTTTTAGGAAAACTTGGTACAGTCTCTAATTGTTATTTTTTAAAGAAAGAAAAGTAAGATTGGAAAGTAGAGGGAGGAGGCATGATATATCAAATAAAGTACTGGACTAGTAGTAAGGAAGACCTGGATTCAAATTCCACCTTTGACATTTATAAGTTCTGTGACCATGAATTAACATCTCTGAGTTTTAGGTGCCTTTCAAGATTATAAGATACATGTAGGTTATGAAGTATATCAGTAGAGTTCCCATACCAATGAAATCACAGGCCCTGTTATTGAGGAGAAAATGTCACAGTTGATCATAACTTACAAAGAAGTTACCATTAGAGCCAGGTCCCCAACTAGTTTCCATTTTATTTATATTGCTGATCATGACAGATAATAGGCTTTAGAAAGTGGAAAGAACCTTACAGATTATCTAATCCATTCCTCTTTTTATAGATGAGGAAACTAAGGCCCAGAAACAATAAGTAGCTTGCTAAGATTATACAGCTAGGAATGTAATAGAGACTGGAATCCAGGTTCACTGACTCCAAATCTATTACTTGTTCCAAGACACAATTGAAAATTGCAACTTACTTGTTTAATTGATCTACTTTAAAAAAGAAATAAAAATGTGAGACAGAAACTTCTCTGACTTTCTTATATATAAATCATTTTATTTTTCATTAGTTTTAACACAAACCCACCTGGCACCCTGACATTCCACATTTAATCTATTCATCAATTATTTAATTAATATATATTGGAGCTTAATGCAAAAGGCACCTTTAGGATAATGGTGACTAGTTACAACTTCAGTTGGTATTTCTATTTCCTCCTGTTTTAAATATCTAGAATATTATGTGCTCTGCAATACCAACAACTGCCATACAGAAAGCCAGCAGTCAGAGGAACTATGGTATACAAAAAACATTGGACTAAGAGTAAAGAGATCAATTTTTCCAGGCTGAAATCATGAAACTAACTTGCTGCAAGTTAATCTCTGTGCAAGTCAATCTCACTGAGTTATTTTCTCAACCATAAAATGCAGGATTGGCTATACTCTTAATTCCTCTTCTAGACCTAAGCCTTGAAGTATCACATCATATCTAATGAGCAGATTTTTTTTTTGTGTTTTTACTGTAACTGTTCTCTAGGTCACACAATGTAATGAGTATTCTACTTTAGTGGGCAAGGTTTCTCTCCCAAGCATAAAGATTACTCGCATGACTGATTTTTTTGGGGGGTGGGGGGGTGGGGGCTGAAATCCTGCTCTTCAAGTAAAGTATTTCAAAAGTAAACCCCAGGATATGAATTGGGAAGCATCAATTTCCTAAGTATGACTGTTAGGAGAAAAAGGTAACAATGATATAGAAAGAAGTCAATAGCTATCATCTACTTGCAATCCTGCATTATTCAGCATTATCTTTAAAGCAATCCCTAGAGTTTTTGATACAACTATACAGCAAACTATGGCATAGTAACAGTCAGCAAAATAAGTCTGCTATCTAAATAAAGCTTTTACATAGAAAGCAGGCTGTTGAAAACCTTTGGAGGGAAACCCATGATTTTTATATTAAGAGAAGTAAATAAACGAGTAATGTACCTCTCTCTAATCTGGATACAGACATGTTTTCCACAAATTCATTTTCATAGGAGCATCATATTCCTAGATGTAGAACCCTCTCAAAAAAATCGATGACTATATGTTTTAGAAAATATATTTAATGGAATAATTAATATAAAGCTCATTTAGATTCTATTTTTGTAAGCTAAATGGATTATGAAGGTTGTCAGTTGACAACATGTAGTCATCTTAAATCTGAATCAATACAAACTACATTTTACACTGTAAACCACTTGAACTTTTATTCTACACAAAAATCTAAGAAATTGCTTTAAGCAGTTAGATAAAGGCAAGGAATCAGTTAAAATGTATATATCTTAAGGGTTAAATCAGCAATCAATTCTGAATTTCATAATCGTTAAAATCTGGCCAAATTCTTTACATTATAAGGAAAAGACAATGCTATACGATATACTGAGTAAGATTAGTCCACAAAGTCGAACATTTTGACAGTGGTATGTTTTGTAGAACATGGCAGCTGCCTTTAAAGATACCAATTTCAAAAGAACAAAACGATACTATCTAAACAGTTACCACTTCAAAGGCTATCCCTTACTTAGGATCACAGGATTCCAAGCTTGAAAGGGCCAAAAATCATCTACTCCAACTACTTCATTTTACAAATAAGTAAATTGAGGCCCAGAAAAATTGAGTGTAGCCTCGACTAAGGCCACAAAGGTATTAAGTGACAATGCTAGGATTCAAACCCAGTTCTCTCTAATTTCAAATTCAACACTTGATTCACTCTACTATTCCAAATTTCAATATCCCAAAGCTTGTGAAATATATCACTTTTCATTACTTGGGAAGTTGTGCTTCATTACCAGTTCTCCTAAACTGAATTATTAAAACGGAAATCCAAATCTTCTGATACTATTTCCACTTTACTTGAGCAATAATCATAAGAAACAAATACTGCTCTCCTCCATATTTGAATATTCTAATACAACAAATACGGCAATCGGACACATAATTCAGAACAATTTAATTAGAATTAAATACAAAAACAATGAATAATTTAAGGGTTTTTTTACTTATGTCAAAATGCATCAAATGCATGTTTCCTTTTTCCTAAAATACAAGCAAATTATAATATTAAGAGTCTCTCCTGAAATTAAAGAACAGTAAGATAAACCCTTCAAAAGGCTTTTAAAACATAGGAAAAAGAATGTTCTAACCTGCTTGCTTGTTTGTTTTTTTTTAATTTGAGAACTAGAGGGAAAACAAGAACAACACAACACTTCTCCACTGCTTCCAATTTAACGGCCTTGCCAGTATGGAAACATCCACAATTAACACATACCATCTCAAGGCTTGGGATAAGTAAGATGCTGCCCAGTGCATACTTACAGGGTTTAAATTTACAAAGTGGTTGCTTCTGCTGGCAGTGCAATTCGGAATTCGGGAGGCTCTTCTTAGATTGGTGTGAACTCACAATCAAACCTTAGAGCGGAAAAAGATCTTAGACATCACCTGAGTCCAACCTCTCCATTTACAAAGGGGAACACCAAGGCCCAGAGGGGGAAGTGACATGCACAAGGCCACACAGTCAATCTGTGGCAAGTATAGGTCCCCAAGTCTGGGGCTTTTCATTACTCCCTGCCCAGCAGTCTCCCTATTTCACCTTTTCTTCAACTATAATCACAACTTAGGGCAGAAGGAAAAACACTTGGGGGGGTCGGGGTGGGGGGGAGCCTGAGCGAGAAGCCCCAGATTTCAGATCCGGGGCTTCTAAGATCTCGGTGCCTCCTGCTGATTTCTATCTATCTCTATTTTCTAAAACAGGGTACTTCTAGAAACATGCACGTCATTCGAGTCAATGAGAAGCCCCAGGGCCTTCACCCACTCGTGGGCAGCCTGAAGCGGAAGGAAGCCCCCACAGCCACAGACACCGCGTCCCGTTCCCCTCAGACCAAATCCGAATCCTTCGATGCTGCCACGGTCACGGTCGCAGTCGCGACCAACGCCACGGCCACCAAGAGGCCAGCGGAACCGGCCGGAGAGCTGCCCGACGGGCACCACAACCCAGGAAAAAGCTGCACCCCGCCGGGAACCCCAGACGGCTCCAAGCCTCGCTAAGAATCACAACTCACAGGACGAGGAACTACTCACCCGACCGACTCCCGCGATCCGGCGGCCATTTTGAGACGTCGTCAACATCCCGCCTTCCCATTGGTTCTGGCCTCCTGGCCAATGGGCTGGAGCTGGTCTGATCCTCCTCCAATAGGGAGCTCGGCCTCGCGGAGGGGTCGCCATAGCAACCAACCTCGCCCAAGTTCCGCGTTAGGTGAGGAGGCGGGGCGGGGGAGGGGGGGAGCTCGCTTTCATCCTTCTCCTTTGCCCTCTCGGTTTGGACCTGTTTCCGTTGGTTGGACTTGTTCCAGCCCCCTTCTCTTCGTCACGGTATTTGGCCTTTGTTGACGCTAAGGCAGGCCCTGCTGTAGCTGACATCTATGGGGATGAGCCCCACAGCAGGAAGGGCTCCTGTTGTGACTCCCTTGTTACAGAGGAGGAAGGTGAAGGCCAGCAAGGTGAACTGATTTGCCTGAAGTCACTAGTCTATGGTGATGGCAAAGCTAAAGAAGCCAGGTATTCTAACCCACTCCAAGTCCAGCCCTCCATCTCTGTAGCAAGCTAACTGGAGGGGGTGGGGGAGAGAGAGAGGAGGAAAAGAAGACCCTTTTAAGAACCTGGGGTTACATTCAGTTTCTGTGCTGATGGTACAGGATCAATCAGCCTTCTCAGGAAAGATGAGGCAATGCTAACAAAGTCAGTCAACAGCAAGCAACAAGCATTTATCAAACGCCTGCTTCGCGCCAAGCACTGCGCTAAGTTCTGGGGAAGGCAAAGAAAAGTACAAAGCGCCAAGTCACTTCTGGAGCCAAAGGAAAAGGTTGCTGAGCACAGTCATCCCATCCAGCCATCCATATAAACAAATTCAGTGAGGTTCAAGGGCTGATCAAAATTGTAGCAATTACCAAGGTATAAGGGTGACAGGCAGTAAATATCCTACAGAATAATTTCTATATATGAAGTTGGACTTGATAATCTCAGGGATCCTTTCCTGCTTTAAAAGTTTGCAAATGGAGCACCTCCAGGATTTCTCATGAATGTATATTCCTAAACAAAGCCAGACTTTGACTGTGCTATTTTAGATCAGTGTATTCAGGTTATTATGGCAAGTTAATGGTCTATCAAAAAAATTAATAAATTTGAGAGAAATGGCACAAAAGTAATGAAAAGAGCTAATGTTAGGGAATAGGGAGTAGTCGATTTTGGTAAGTACAAGAAGTGTCTGGTTTGAATTTATTACAGCAAACCAGCTGTCTCAAAAATTTTATTAAGAATGTTAAACTAGAATAATTGAAAATTTGGGGGGGGTTTGGCTAGGCAATGGGGTTAAGTGACTTGCCCAGGGTCACACAGCTAGTAAGTAGTATATGTCTGCTGCAGGATTTGAACTCAGGTCCTTCTGAATTCAGGGCTGGTGCTCTATCCACTGTGCCACCTAGCTGTCCCTAGTAATTGAAAATTTTGAAGAAACCATTGATGCCATGTTTTCTGTAAAATCTAACATGAGATAAATGCAAAATATTCTGCAGAAAGGTTTGCAGAGTGCTTTACATTTATCTCATTTGATCAGTCTCTTAAGACTTGCCAGTGATCCAAATTGTCTATTTTAAGATTAGTATTATCATTCTAATAACTGATTTTTTTTACTGTTTGACTCTCTTCAGTTCTTATTTTGAACATTCATTGTACAATCTATAATTCAAACTTTTCCCTCCAGATTCTATATGTAAGATCTTTAGTTATTTTATTTGCTGATAATTGCATTTTATCAATTTTCTAGGGAAATATTGAAGTAATTTATTTCCCTTTAATCACTTTCCCTCCTTTGGTAAATTTCTATTCTGGATATCTGCCAAACAATATGAATGCAATAGTTACATCTGTAATAGTTCTATGAAACATAAAATTACCAAACATTGATAATTAAGCTATAAATGAGATATGTAATTATTCTTGCTGCTAATGAATTATACCTGAATTTTGTTGCATCAGGCATTCATTTCAGCTAAGAAACAGGCCTTCACAAAAGCCTCCAGGTTCACACAGATCTGGGCCTCATCGTCAGGGCCAGCCCTCAGAGATCAGGTTCTGTATTTGGATTCAAAGGATCAGAATTCAAATCCTGCTTGTGTCACTATCTGTGTGTATGATCTTGGTCAAGTTACTTGGCCTTCTTGGACCTCAGTTTTCTCATCTGTAAAATGAGAAGGTTAAACTAAATGGTCTCTAAGGTGTCTTCCAAATATAAATCTATGCTCCTCTGATCTCTCTGCCTTATTAATCAACCTTTCCCTGTCTGCGCTACCAAAGGACACTTCAGGAAAATCCCTAAAACAAAACTTAGGTTTGATTCACATTTAGTGTTTTCTCTGTATGTGGGTACAAGGCTTTCCTCCCAGAAGATACTTAGTAAACAAGATGGGTATTAGCTATGGGATGACTTTTTATTTTCCCCACCTCAGAAACTGCATAAGACAGAAAGGACACACAGATATTCATAAAAAAATTCAGGAAATATTTTGGATTTTGGACAAAACCTCTAAGTTCATTGGTATTGGGAACTCCTGATGAAGAAATTCCCTCTGTCTATGAACGTTGGCACCTGCTTTGTGTCATTTGCTCTTAGTTTCCTAGGGCACTGAAAAATTAAATGACTCACCCAGGGTTGCACAAACAGTGTGTCAGAGGCAAAACTTAAAACCAGTTTTTCCTGACTGTGAGCCCAGTTCTGTTAATGATGCCATATTGTTTTACAAACCTTAAGTGATACATTCATGTCAGCAATTATTATTAATGTTGGAATCTTCAACAAGTGGTCATCCAATTACTACTTGGAAACCACCAATTGATGGGAATCCGTGACATCCTAAGGCTACCCATCCCAATTTAGACAATTCTTATTGCTAGACATTTTTTTTTCTTACATCAGTATAAATCTAGCCACTGTAGCTTCTACCTTTGGGGCCAAGCATAACAAATCCTTCATATACATGGTTTTATTTGATTCTTAGAATTCTTGTGATATAGGTAGTACAAGTATAATTTTTCTCCTTTTACAGATGAAAAACTAAGTATCAGAGAAGTTAAAGGTTTTGTTCAAGGGCACACAACTAATAAATGGCAGAGCTGAGATTTGTGCTCAGGTCTTTTTGTTCCAAATCCAGTGTTCCTTCTATCCTACTATGTTGCCTTCTCTTAATTTATGATTTTTGTCTCGTGACCTAGGAGTTGATAAACTGCCGCTGGCACTCGACCACACTCATTTTGACATACTTGCTATAATGAGATCTGAAGCATAGAGAAGTTGTAACTAATTGGAAGAATATCAGATGGGTTTTACTCAGGGAGCAGATTAAAGAAGTTGGTAGATTTGGCTTTATCATAGATCTAAAAGCAAGAAGAAACATTATTTTAGGTAACACTTGAAATAGCACTCCATTCAAAAAGACCAGATTTAATCCTGAAGATACATTGTACAGATTGCTCTTTGGTTTCTACTTTCAGGATAGCTTCCTATGAATATCAGGATTTTCTCGTGTGTGTGTGTGTGTGTGTGTGTGTGTGTGTGTGTGTACATACATATGTAATACATATAACATGTTTATATTACATAGGCATATATGTACTTATACATGGCAATGCATATGTAATGTATGTATGCATATGTATGTGTGTACGTGTATATTACATATACATGCATATATACGCACAATATCAGATAAAAGACAGACTTCATTTCACCTCACAGAAAATGCAGAAACACAAAGGATTCGTAGGAAGCATTAACTGTCCCTTTCCCTGGCTCCACAAGTCCTACTTTCCTGTAGCGAGCACCCTAGTGTCATCTAATACTTGAGGCTTCCTCAGAAGGGAAACACATTTGAGGGCTTTGGAGGTATTGTAGCTCATATAACATTGTGAGCATTCTTGTCTCAACTTCCAATTGATGGGTTTTAGCCTTGGTCCTGAGGGCAAGGCTTGGTTTCCAACTCTGGGTTCTAAGATTGTCCCTATGAAGTTGGGAATGATTCACTAATCGTTGCTGTTCAGCTGTGTTTGATTCTGTGATCCCATGTGGGGCTTTCTTGGCAAAGATACAGGACTGGTTTGCCATTTCCTTCTCCAGCTCATTTCACAGAGGAGGAAACTGAGGCAAGCAGGAGTAAGTACTGTAAACCCTGAAAATAAATGACCAAAGAGTCACAGAAGCTTTTCAGCCCATTGTTAACTCTGAAAATACCAAAGAGCTTACACAGGTTATCACAACCACAATTAACTCTAAATACAAAATAAAACCAAAATGATAACAGTGGTCACAAGCAAAAAGCTTTCTTTATTCCCCTGGAGGAAGGAAACTAGACACATGCTGGGGCCCTGTCTAGGAGAAGATCCACTTTAGTGTGGGCACATCTCTATACATATACATATGGCTACACAGTGAGCCATATACCCGGCAATGCGGAGTAGCAGCAACAATGAGACAAGTTTGATTCATAGCAGGACTTCCTGACCTGAGCTTGGCATAACAACAATCCTTTGCAATCACTTTCTGGATAACCTCAGCCACAGCAAAATCCCAGAATTGTTTCACACAGGCACCAGGTGGTACCTGAACTGGAACTGCAGTACCCATGTTCTGGTCTTGGCATGGGGATCCTGACAATGACTTGCCCAGGGTCACATAGCTAATAAGTGTCTGAGGCCAGATTTGAACCCAGGAAGAGGAAGCCAATGCTCTATCTACTACGCCACCTAGCTGCCCCTGGGAATAGGCATCTTACTAAGAGAGAACATATTGCTAAAAGAGAATTGCATCACAGAAGCTACATAATGTCATCAGAGAGATGTAGGGTCCACAAAGGAAAACTTCCAAAAAGCGATAACTGATGGATAGTGTGTGGGTTCCATTGGTATACATAGAATTTAAAGAGTTTTAGAAGAAGGCCCTCAGTATATTATGTGCACCACTTTCTTCCCTTCCCTATCCCATACTTCCTCCCCCAATGAATGCTTAAGAAACATGGATGAAAGTTGCCCAGGATGAGAAGGTATAGATTCTAATTTACATTGTTGGATATAGTAGCCACATTAATGAGATTTTAGAAATAAT